CGTTGGCAACAAAATTTTGGCCGGAACAGTTCTTCAAAGGGATTGAGCCACGGACATTTTCAGGAACCATGTATGAGAGTTGGTTCTCATATTCTGCTCTTAAATTTTGTTCATTTTGGTGAATCTGAGTGGTAACTTGAGATCGTTTCAATTGGCTCATCCCTGATGCTTGTTGAGGCTGAGTATCTTTTCAAGTGCTTATTGGCATTTGTATATTTTCCTTTGTGAAGTGGCCATTCATATCTTTTGCCTATTTACGAAATTATCAGGCTGTTGGTTTTTATTTGTAGGAGTTCTTTATATATAGTAATACTAGTTCTTTGTCAGATGTATAGATTAAGATATCTTTTCCCCATCTGTGGATTAGCTTTCCTTGCCTTTCATGAAGTTTTTGCCAACCATAAGCTCTTTTTCCATCTGTTTTTTTTAAGGGAGGGTCTTATTACATAGGCCAGCCTGGCCTTGAAATCGAGACCCTCTTGCTTCAGCCTCCTGAAGGCTGAAATCAGACATGGGTGTCGCTGTGCCCAGCTTTCATAAATTTTTCACTTCAATGAAGACCAAATTTATAACTGTAAATAAACTAGCGATTTCTGTGTCTTGTTTAAGAAAGCTTTGCCTACCACAGAAGAATCTTTCTAAGGTGTGAATCTACCTCTCCGCACTGGGTCTGGCTGCTGGCTACGGATCCCGCCTGCCCCAGTCCAGCTCCTAAGAGCAGGGCGCGGGGGAAGGGGAGGGAGACCACAGTGACGTGGGAGGCTAACGCCTAGATTGCCTGCCCCCCAGGACAGCAGCGCTCTGTCCCCCTCCCCCTTCCTTCCCCTCTGCGGATTTGGGTTTCTGTTGGGCTGTAAGATTAAAGCCAGAGAGATTAAAAGATTACGTCTGGCTTGGAAGGCAAATTCTGCCCTTTTGCTCCTGGGGGTGGGCGTGGAGTGGAAGGAGGGCAGCTGGGGTGCGGATGGTGCCCCTCCACCTCCAGGCCCCTCTCCTCCCTACTGAGAGCCTGTCGCCCTCACCCCGTGTAGCCCAGGGCACTGGTTCCCACTCGGCCCTCAGCTGGAGAGTGGAGGGGGACCCCGCTGGGACAGTGGGTGTCAACACGGGCCTTCGTGGGCCTCCATAGCAGCAGCCCAGCATGGGTGGTAGCTTGCAGGGAAGGCAGGCCTGGCCTCTTCCCCAGACCAACTGAGGCAGCAGACTGGGTCTTAAAAGCTCCTGGGGATTCTGATGTATGAGAACCAGTGACTTCAATAATGGTGACAGCTGGTGATTTTTACAGTGCTGAACTGTGTATTATCAGTGGCTCTTCTAAAGAATACACATCTGTCCACTAGCAGTAGGACAGCAGGACAAAAGTAGGACAAAAGTGGGGGGGTTTTATCGCCTTCCTTACTTTACACATAGGGAAACTGAGGCTCAGAGAGGAGAAGCAGCCTGTCCTGGGTCACAAAGCTACTACCATCAGAGCGTGGTTTTGGAGGCTGAGTCCCTGGTGACTGCTCTGTATGGCTTCAAAGTTCCCCTGGTGTCACCCTGAGCCTTTCAGAGCCCACAACTTATCACAGCTCCACAGGACGGAGAGCCCCAAAGGCAGATCCCTCCGGGGACTCCTACCTGCCCAGACCCAAAACATTTACTCCCAGCCACAAAAGCTCCTTCCTGCTTCCTCTACCGGCCCTCCAGGGGCTGCTGGGAAACCCCGGCCTGAGGCTGAGGATCACAGGAAGTGGGTGTGCACCGTCCCCTGCGCGGGGACAGGGACCTTTGTGCTGGCCGCCTCTGACATCCATCATGTGGCAGCTCATTTCTCATCTGTATTTAGTGGTCCCCAGCCGGAGCAGAGCCCAGGCTCAGACAGCCAGAGGCAGACAGGAGGAGAGGAAACCTTTTCATTAATTTCACGGTTGTCCCTGCCATCGCTGGTGGGGAGCCCCCTCTCCTTGGCACTGGAATGTGACCAAGAAACAGCCAAGGCCCAGATGAGGGGCTGATTTATGGGGCGGCACTGGGGAGCACGAGCCTGCAGCCACAGCGGTGTAACCATCCATCAGGGCTCCCAGGGTGGGGGAGCTGCGGGCAGCCAGCTTCACTGCTGTTGCCCCTGGCCCTGCTGTCCGGGAGGGGCCTTGCCTCAGTGGCTCTGGGGCTCCAGCAGGCCTCCCCATGCCGTGCTTTGGGCCACCAGCCTTTGTGCACCTTTGAGAGGTGCTGGAGGTAGGGAAGGGTGGACCCCTGGACTCGACCTTGGTAGATTCCTTTTCTGGGTCTCGGTTTCCTCATCTGTAGGGACCTGAGCCCAGCCCAGTGCAGTGACCTCACAGAGTGTCGCTGAGGTGAGGTGATGTGGCTGTGCCCCGAGATGGGGGCAAGCGTGAGACTGGGGTGAGGACCTCGCCCCCTACTGCCAGGCTCCTGGGTGTGAGCAGGACACAGTGGGCAAGGGTCTGAGCCCGTGACCTGCACATCCTCCCTCTGGGCTTGCAGCAGGTCCAACCCTGCCACCTCGAGCCCTGTCTGTGCCTGCTGAGCCCTGGCACTCCCTCTACCCCTCCCGCGGGCGGGGTGGGGGTGTGGCTGATGCTCATGCCCGGGCCCCATGCAGCTGGTTATTTATTGATTAATTCTGCTGCCAGCTGATGGATGCCAAGCTGGTGCCAGGCGCAGGCCCTGGGCTGATTTACATAATTAAAAACCATCAGTAACAGAGCCAGGCCGCACCCGCCAACAGCTTCCTCTGGTGTGACAACTGGCTGAGCCTCCCTCTCCACCTGCACCCCAGCCTCTGTACCCCAAAGCTTCCTGCCACACAGGGAGAAGGGAAGAGTGTTTGTTCTCCATGGCCCGAGTGCTCCCCAGGAGGTGGCGCTGCTCACGGGTGGGTGTGGGTGGGCCGGGCGTGTCAGCCCCGGCTCCTGAAGGCTCCTGAAGGCTCCTGAAGGCTCCTGAAGGCTGGGCCGTGGAGGGCAGAGCGGGCAGAAGGAAGGAGGACCTGAGACCCAGGACAAGGACTGGACGGGGAAGTCCCGCGGTGGGCCAGGCTCCGGAGGATTCTGGGAGACGGCAGATCCTGCGCAGTGACATCCACCCTCTCCCGGCTCTCACTTCCGTGTTCTCAGCAAAGGCGCTCACATTTTGGTGTCGTTCTGTTACTGGGAATCAAACTCAGGACCTTGCGCTCGCCAGGCTGGCGCGGTGCCGCCGAGTGTTTGATATTACCCAACGAGGCCTGCCGCTGAAATGATGCGTTTTGGGAAAGGCAGCCAAGCATGGAGGGCCGGGAGGCTCAGATCCACCTCGGTGGGGTGGCAGGCAGGGTATCTGCGGGTGAAGAAGCAGGGTGGCTGCGGGATGGGGGAAGTGATGTACTTGATGGTCTGCGCATGCGTGGTGCGACTTCTGGCTCTTCCCGGGTCTGGCATTCAGCAACTAACGTCATCTTCCAGAGGATTTGGGCGTCTGTCGTGTACCCCAAAGCTGGTGGGGGTCCTCCCAACTTGTGACCTCTAAAATGCATGGAAAAGCCAAGAACTCAGAGCAAGGGACGCTAGAGGGTTGATATGGGTTCCTCTGGTGGCGCTGAGCATGCGGAAAAGCACGCAGGAGAAGCACAGAGTGTTCCTGCCCCTGTAAGCCCAGCACCCAGTCACGCTATTGCAGTAGCTGTTTGTTGCATGACTGAATGAATTTTGTCGGTGTCACTCCCGGCCGGCAGGAAGGACACACAACAAAGTCTGGCAGTGGACAACCTTTTCTTTTATTTTCCTTCTCCGTACAGCCTGCCCCGGGAATCCTCCCGGCCGAAGCCTCTGTTGGTCCGCTCCCCGCGGCTCCTTGCGTGCTTCTCCCTACAGTCTGTCCCGAAGCCTCTACTGGTCCGCTCTCCGCGGCTCCTTGCGTGCTTCTTCTGCTTCTTTTTTCGTGGCGGGAGAGGCACTCACTTTTATAGGGTTACAGTGGCCAATCAGTTCAAAGCGCGCGATGCGGGCTGATTGGCTAACATCAGTTGTTGCTAGGCAGACTATCTTACAGGGCGGGTTGTGAAGCAGGAGATCTTACAGGGCGGGTTGTTTACCAAGCAGGAAGCAGGAGATCTTACAGGGCGGGTTGTTTACCAAGCAGGAAGCAGGAGATCTTACAGGGCGGGTTGTTTACCAAGCAGGAAGCAGGAGATAAGCGCCATCTTAGCACACTCGATGGGAGGGGTAATCTAGCTCAGGCTTTGCTCTTTCCTACAGGCCTCACGTCCGCCAAGTAAGGCGACCGGGCTCGGCCGCGGCTCCCAACAGAATTTCTCTTCTCTTAGCTGTTCCCAGACACTGCACCAGCCTTAGCCCTCAGGTGGGGGACCTGGGGCTCACGACTGCTCTCCAGTGGTCTCCCACTGTCTCATTCATTCGTCTCTGTGTCTGCCTCTTCCTCTCCAGCCCTGCTGCTTGGTAAGGAATTCCTGCCCATTCCCAGTTGCCTCAGCCTCAGTGACCTCCGCCAGAGGCAGTTTTGAGGGGGACATAGCTGGCTGTTCTCCCATCTACCACGGGGGGCCTGGAGATGCACTCCAAACCTGTCCCACGGAACCTCAGATGGAGACCACTCGCCCCAGTCCAAGCAAACAAGACGATAGATTCTCAGTCCTCAAGCTGAGACCTTGGAGTGGGAATGCCCCGAGCAGCCTCCGTCAGCATGTGACATCGTAGGTCACAGAGTGATGCAGGGTGCCCACGGGAGCCACCAATCCTAGGTAAAGTAAGACAGGACTTATCAGAACTGGAAAACCCCGAAATCAACTCTGAGGTTTAAAGCTAATGATAGAATGGAAGGGGGAGCATCTGCTGAGGGCACGTTTGGAAGGTCCTTAAGAAATTATGGTACTAGCAAGGGCCGGGTCCTGGGTTTAATTCCCAGTACTGCTAAGAAACACACAACAACAACAAAAAGGTTAAACAGAGTACCTGGGTCAGCTTTTCATTGCTGGGATAAAATACCTGACATATAAATTTAAAAGCAGAAAGTGTTTATTTGACTCACTATTTTGGAGGGTTCAGTTCATGGTTGCCCAGCACTGAGACGGAAACATCATGGAGGAAGACCCACAATGCAAAGCCCTGGGGACTCAGTCACCTCTCTAGGCCTCTCCCCCACCTCTGAACATTGCCACCTTGGGGACCAAGCGCTCCACCCAGGAGTCTGGGAGACATTTCACATTTGAACCATTATGTGGAATTATCATGTGACCAGCAAGTCCACTCCCAGCCCTGCCTGAGGGAACCGAAGGAGGGGGTCAGATAGACGCTTGCCCTCTCGTGTTCTCAGCAGCGTTACTCACAGCAGCCCAAAGGTGGAAGTGGCCTAGATGACCATCAACAGGAGGCCTGGACAAGCACGTTGTGGCATGAACTCACATGGACTATTATACAGCCCTGGAGAAGGCTGAAATACTACATATCTAGCCATAGGGACGAGCCTTCAAAATTATGTGCTAAGTCACAGAAACTGGACACGAAAGGACAAATGTTGTACGAGTCCAGTTGCAGGAGGCTGGTAGAATATTCAAATTCATAGGAAGGGGGAGAATGGAGGTTGTCAATCGCTGGAGTAGAAGGGTGTGGGAGTTTGTATTTAATGGGTAGAGTTTGTGTTGGGGATGACGGTTTGAGGTTTGTGTGTTTCCTCTGTGCCTCCCGCATTCCGAGCACACAGGGGTGGGTGCCTGGTCTCCGCACACAGCAGGGCCTCAGTCACACACAGAACGGCTTGCGAGGGGCTCCACGCCGAGCAGCGCGGCCCGTGGCTCCCTCTCACATCCAGACTGCCGCCTCGCTTTCCTCTTGATCAAACACCATCCCGAGTCTGCAGGGTGTCCGCGCTGGCGCCAGCGAGAGTCTGGTGGCTGTCAGGCTGTCCTGGGCTTTGAGGATTGGACACGGCTTCCCAGGTGACACTGAAGCGATTTTTCACGGAAGTTTCCTTTCAGAAGAGGACATGCCACGCACGGCACGCCGGTGCTGGCCTTGGCTTTGGTCTCGCTTCACGCAGGAGAGGATCTCGCTTGTTCGGCGGCGGTGCCTGGATGTGGCTTTTCATGTGCTCCACGCTGTGTCATTGATTTCTCTCTTGAGCTGTGCAAAAAGTGTCACGCGCTGGGATAGTGTCAGCCTCTCGGGGATCAAGAAGTTTGCCTCACAATTTGGTTCCATGACATCCGCTGTGTACCGGCTATGAAGATGGGAGCTGGGTGTGAAGGTGCACCCCTGTAAACTCCCAGCACTCTGGGAGGCTGAACCGGAGGATTGCAAGCTCCAGTCCAACCCAGCAAAATGAGCAAGACCCTGTCCCAAAATGAAATGGGGCTGGGGACGGAGCTCTCTCAGAACACGGGTGCTGGGTTCGATACCCAAGACCACAGAAAAAGAAAAGACGATGGTACCTTAGCTCCAGATCGATGGAGTCGGGTTTGCTGAGGTGCTGATGGGGTCACCAAGTCCTTCTTCAGATCAAAGCACTGGCTTTTGATGGCGCCACCATGTCATACAGCAAGACTTGGAGGTTATCTGTCCTTTCCAGAAGTTTCCACAGTGAGAGTTCTGCAGGTTGGTAAAGCAGGTCCCTGCCCCATGTCCGCTCCAGAAGCTGGATACTTGGTGGCCTTGGTTCAGTCACGTCTTTTCCATCTCTCTCCACACCACACAAAGATGGAGATGGCACTGTCACGTGCTGGCCGCTCGCCATGCATGAGTGCCAGTGCTGTCATGGGAACGAGTCCCTCCACCCGGGGCAGCATCTGTGCACCCTCAGCCTGGTCCTCATCTTCCTCATCAGCCTGGATCGTGGCTCAGAGTCACCATCACGTCATCCTGAAGGCGTCCTCCTGTGTGGCATCGGGGCTGCGTGACAAACAGGACCCAGAGAAACCCTGCAGCTTGTTCCCCTCACGCATTCAGGGATCTGTTGCAAGGGGTGGAAAACCCAACTAAAACCGCTCTACTGCTTTCCTGAGTACAGGTCTGCTTGCTGTCACCAGGGCCCAAGCGACTGATTTACATAAGGTGGGCGTCTACCTCCCTGCCTGGTAAGCATCTTGTGTGACCAGAGCAGATAAGGTGCTGCTTTTATTGAATTTCTTGCCTTCTGCAACTGCGGGTGGTTCCACTGCCTGGCTTAGGATGGCTGCTCCAGCTCCTGCCATTGCATCTGTGTTTCAGCCATGAGAAATATTGGGAAAACAATGAGAGTCATGCACCTTTCCTTTTGGAAGCATGAACAGTCACCAGTCCTGAGGCCACACCCATCTGACTAACAAGCTAGGAAGGTGGTTGTTACCTAAGATGTTGGAGAGGCAGCTGGCTGTCTCTTCACTGCTGCAGTGACTATGCTGAGCCCACACTGTGGCTGGGTGCTGTTCTGGGTCTATGCAGTGACAGGAGGACAAGGGTGCTGCTTCTCACCGAGCTCCCGTTTGGGAGGAGAGGACGGGAGGAGGGGGAGGGTCGGCAGTGGGACACATCACTGACCGTGCAGTCAGGGGTGGGGTGCATGTCTGGGACCTTGACAAGGTCCCTCTCAGTAGCACAGAGGCCCATGCGGACTACAGAGACCGGCTGGATGGAAATCAGGGTGAAAAAAGAGCTTTGGGGTTCACTTCCTTCTGATTAAGGAGAGACTGGGGTGCACCATCCAGACATGCTCTGCTAAGGTGACAGGCAGCAGCGTTTGGTGTGTGGCACTGGGTGTGACGCTGCAGGGGAGAAACAGGCCTGGAGGAGAACGAGGGGGAGCAGAGGACACCCCGAGGAAGAGGGGGGGACAGGGCCCAGTGAGGGTCACGGCCCCAGAGCAGCCTCAGGAGGAGGAATGCGGGCCTCGGAGGAGCCTCTTCTGATGGCTTCTGCTCCCCTGGTGAAACAGGAACCCAGGACGCTGCCAACCTGAGAGGGAACAAGCAGAGAGAGACAGGAGACTGCAGCCTATGGGAGGCCATGATGGACTCCTGCCTTTGATCCTGCAAACTACCTAATAGATTCCTTTGCCTGATTATACATATGCTTTCTGTTGGTTCTGTTCCTCTAGAGAATCCTAACTAACCAGGCCCCATCCTTGTGCGATGTCTGACTTCTTATAAAAGAAAAAACTTCCTTGGGAATCCACCTGCCACCTTCCACTTAGATCTCATTGGTCAGACTGCGTCACATGGCTACCCTAGCTGCAAGGGAGGCTGGGAAATCAGGAACTGGATTCTCAGGATGGGCCTAGAGCAGGGAACACTGCCTTCCCCAGTGCATTCAGGGTTCAACTAAGAGACAAAGGGGGTGTGCCTGCCACACCATCCTCCCCGTGTGCAGGAATCTGCTGTGCCTTTCCTGCCATCAGTTTTGTGTCTATGGGTAAAATATCTGCTAGGGAGCAGGTGTGAGAACTATCAATCTCCCTGGTTGTTGGCCATACATTACACGGTCCCCTCCTCGGTGAGTGTTATCTGGTATAAGATAAAGTAATTTTACAAATAACTTAATTTGTTCACCCCGACTCTTCACTCACGATGTGGCTGGCTTTGTAAGTGTCCTGGCGATAGAATAGCTCATGTCTGGCTTTTCCACTGAGCGACTTGGAGTGACACCTCTGGGCTTTTGGTCTCTCTTCTGCCTTTCATGATGGAGATCATTGATTATGTGCTGGAAAGCTTTATTTTGTGCTTGTTCTCGAAAGACTCCAGTGGTTTCCCAGAGCGGTGCATTCACGGTTTCGTGGGAGACAAAATGTGAACATTTCAGAGGCGCCCGGCCTCCCGGACGCCGGCCACAAGCGCCCGCAGTAGTCTCAGGTCTGACTGCGTCTCCCTTTGGGGGTTCAGGTTCTGACTTCTACTTGAGGGTTTCTACTTTGCTTGTGCAAAATCTGACATTTCTGAACCAGTGCATCCCAGAGGCACACCACAGTCCTTTTTCACGATCACTGATTGCGGCCGAGTATATTCTGAATTACAGAATTTTTTTTGATGTTTTGATGGTTCAGTGAAATATTTTTCATTCTCAGACTGTTTTTGTTCCTTGTGGCCACACTGCAAGAGCAAACACAGGCCAAGAGCTGGCTCTGGGCCCTGTGCCGGTTTATCTATTCTACACATATATGGTGGAAGTTTTTAAAATGTCCTCAGTTTTTCTATACTTCTTCTGTTGTGAGGTGGTGCCTGTGGTCCTTCCCTGTGCATTGGGCTGGGCCTAGTGGCATGCTCTTCCGGGGTCTGGGAGGGAGGAGTTTCTCTCTGGTGTCCGGGGGATAAGGCTCTGGGAGAAGCCGTTTACCGTGCAACCAGCCCAGCTCCTGATCGGTCCAGCCAGGCCACTTTGGCTGTCAGGCTGAGCCCCGCCGGCTGTGCTATTAGAAGGTGGCAGTGCCAGCAGATATCTGAGTGCCACTTTAGAAGAACCTCTGACTGTGCCCCTCCAGGATACTCAACCTTCAAGATGACAAACATGTGACACAGCTGGAATGTTTTTGTTTGCTCCCCTCAGAGCCAGGAGGGCAGCACGCAGGGTTCTAAGGCTCTTTCTCCGCAGGGGACAGCAAAGCTCCCAGTCCAGAAGGGACCATGGGTGAGGTGTGCCCGCAGAGCTCCCAGTCCCCTGGGAGGGAAGGTTTGCCTCCAGGCCTCTTCAAGAGGGACACATTTTGGGGAGCACCCTCCATCTTCAGGACCCAGCAGTCCTACAAAAAGCACAATCAATGTTGCATTTCAAACTTGCAGCGTGGCAGGGAACAAAATCCAGCAACCCTCCCCTTGCCTCTAATACCTCCAAACTGCCCGGGACCAGCAGGATGACAGCTGTGGAAGTGCCCTGACCCCTGGACTCTGTAGCCTCATGGGTCCCCGCGCTCAGCAGCTTGCCGGTGGAGGATATTAGAGCCATAAAATTCCGGAAGACACTGTTGGAGGCACCTTGGAGTCCACCTTGTGCCACCTGCCACCCAGGGCAAGGCAGTCACGGGAAAAGGATGTACCGGCCCCTCCACGGGCGGTGGAAGGGCTGTGGGGGAGAGGGCTCGCTGCCCCAAGCCTGGCATGGGGACAGGGTGGGCTGTGTGACCCTGTGACCGCTGTGGTGGCCCGGCACCCCCAGGGACCCCACACTCTGCTCTGCTGCCGCCTGTGAGTGCTCGTGCTTCTCCAGCTGGATCTCCCACGTGTTCATGTTTCTGGACCCCCGAAGTCTGGCTGGTCACTCTAGGGCCTGGACACTGGCCCTGGGTGGGCATTTCAGCTGGGGAGTGGGGTAGGCAAGGCCTGGGGTCAGCGAACCTGAAATGGGGTGGAAATCAGGGCCCAAGACCACCCATCAGGAAGCGGGAGCCCCAGGATTTGGAGATCTGGAGCGGGGCTTGTGAGGTTCCGAGGCCTGGGGTCTGAAGCCCTGTAGCCTCTGGCCTCCTGGGATGGACCTCCCAGCTGCCCTTTTCTCCTGATTGTTTCTGCAACTGCGGCTCCTCCTCCTCCTCCAGGGAGCCTTCCTGGATTGCTGTGCCCAGACAGCTCCCCTCTGCCCTCTGCCTTCACCCCTCCCCGACCAAGTTCTGTCTGCTAGCGCCCATCTCTTTGCCCACTGCTCCTGGCCAGATGAGACTGTGGCTGTAGGGCCAATGTGAACGGGGCCAGGTTCCCCCAGAGAAATCCTGGGCTCGGTCCTCCAAGGCTCCACAGTGCAGCCTCTTTCCACCTGCCTCCTTGTGGACTCAGGCTCCTGCCTCAGTTTCCCTGCCTCCAGCTGCAGAGGACTGTGGAGTGTTGGCGGTGAGACAGGCCTGGTTCACACGTGGCCCTACCCCTCAGGCTAGTGCCAGCACTTTACAAGCCTCAGTTTCCCTAGGGGCCGTTGTGTGGGTGAAGACTCCCCCTCGGCCAAGTGGCCGAGGTTCTCATCATCGAGGAATGGCATGGATGTCCCGTGCCCCCTGCCGTGCAGCAGTGACGATTAATTAATTAAATTAATTAATTGATTTTTTGCAATAGCGGGAGTTGAACTCATGGCCTTTGCACTGAGCTACATCCTCAGCCCTTTTTAATTCTGAGATAAGGTCTCACTAATTTGTTAAGCTTTGCAGGCTGAGTTTGAACTTGTGACCTTCCTGTCTCAGCCTTCCGGAGTGCTGGGATGACAGGCACACACCACCACACCAGTTTAGAACATGTGTTTTAAAGGGACTCTTTGGTGGCCGCTATTGCTGTTTTTTGTCTGGTATCTCCCCCTCATTCTTCCACTGACAGGTTCTTCCCCCTGTTACCAGGGTCTGGTTGCCTGGTCCAGGCTGGTCCATTAATCTGCCCTTATATCCTGGCTGTCATGATTGGTCCAAGGGGTGAACACGTGACCTGTGCAGGGCCAATCAGAATCCTCCCCTGGAATTGCTGAGTGGAATTGGAGGAAGTCCTCTCTCTCTCTCTGGCTGTGAATGTGTGAAGCTGTGGGCCTGTGGCTGCTCCTAACCACTGCAGTGGGGACAGTGGCCTGGGAGATAATGGCATAAGGAGATGTAGATGGCAGCAAGGTGACCTCTTCCATCTTCCTCAGGGAACCCTGCACTGGCAGAGGAGTTGCTGTAGCATCTTTTGAGGTCCAGCCCATTCAAACTGGGCTCACATTGGTTCCTGTCACCTACAACCACTGAGTCCCGAGTGATCACTTCCTCTCAAATTGTTCTGAGGGCAGGGCAGCAGAGAGATACCTGACAACCCATAAATGGCGGGGACTTAGGGTCCTCTCCAAGGAAGCAGCCTGGGGCTGCTCTAGATGGCAGCTAACTTGGCTGTGGCCCTGAGACGCCCTCGCCCTGTTCCTGTGCTCCCTTGGCCCCTGGTGCGGATCCTGCTTCAAGTCCCCAACCCCAGGCTGTGCTCCAGCCTCCTGGTGTTGGGAGCCAAGTTCCTGGCTGTGACTGGCTTAGTTCTGGGGAAGGAATCAGCAGAAAGTCCTCCTCTCAGAAGAGGAAAATCAGTGACACTGTCCTGGCCAGCCCCAGGGGAGCCTTGTGTCACTGGGCCTTGGGATGCCTAGGGTGCACTCGGGCTTGTTCCAAGCGGGGGCGGGAGTCCCACGTTCCCATGCACACCTGAGGGTGAGGGAGGCAGGAGAGGAACAGACTTGGGATGCTGTGAAGTCACGGGCAGAGCAGCAGAGCCACTCAGCGTGCAGCGCGGGGACTGCCCTTACAGCCTGGGTCTGGGCTGTTGGCCAAGGAGGAAGGGATGCCACGGGGACCCTCTGGGGTGAAGACAGGAGACAGAGCCACTTTGTTCAAGGGACAGGTGATGGCCACCTGGCCTGGAGTGGGAGGGACTCAGTTTACCTGGGGAGGGGCAAGGCTGGGTTCCTGTCGCCCCACTGGGAAATGCAGAGGCTGGGCTAGCTTCGTGACGGGAGTGCTGCCCACCTGCAGGGGTGCTGCCCTCTACCTCTGCCCCCCACGGCCTGCTGTCCGGCCATCTCATCCTCTGGACACCCCACCTCTTCCCGTGGTGAACTTTCCTCCCTTTGCCAGGCACCCCACTCCGGACCCCAGGGCAAACCTGACGTCACCCCCGATTTCTGCTCAGCATGCATTTCCTCTCCTCCTGCTGCCCGTTCTGTGGTAGGCAGGCACCACTGTGTCCTTTCCTCAGCCAGACCACAAGCAAAGGAGGTGACAAGGACACAGCTGCCCTAGCCATTGCAGCAGTGTGGGCCGGCAGAAGGGCAGGTGAAGACACGTTCTGGAGGCAGAGCCGACAGGAGTAACTGAAGGATCAATTTGTGGGGGTCAGGGAGCCTCTGGGGCCCACTAGGTTTGGACCTGGGTAACCTGGCGCCAGCCACACAAACCCACCTTGTCTGGGAGCCCTGGGAACGCATCGCCACTTAGCCACCTTCAGGCAGCCAGGTTCTAGGCAGGGATGACATTCAGGCAGGCCAGGTGCTAAGGACAGAGGAGCTGTCGCGGGGCTGAGGATGCAACTTACCTAAAATACCCAGGAGCCCTGTGGGGACAGCGTGGCTGTGTCTGCAGGAAACCTGGGCGAATCGTGGCCTTGGTCAGTTGCTCAGCACCTCCGACCCTCCTCCATCGGCCTCAGAGGAGGGTTTCCTCATCCCCAGGGACTTGAGTTCATGTGGAGCCCTTGGCACAGAGCCCAGAGGATAGTATGCACCCCCGTGTGGATCAGCAACTGCAGTTCTGGGCAGAGTGTGGCCAGGTTGCAGACCAGTCCAGATGCCAGGCAGGGAGCTGGCACTTTACTCCTTGGAGGCAGAGCCTGGAAGTTTCTGAGCGAAGAAAGAATGTGAAAAAAAACAAAACAAAACAAAAAAAAACCCAGCCAGTCAGCGCCTTTCCAGTGCCTGCAGCAGCTGGGGCAGCGATGACCAGCTAGGCCGTGAGGCCCATGACCTCCAGTTCCCAGGGGCATCGAGCTGCCCCAGTTCTGGCCCAGGGAGTAGCAGTGAGTGTGGCCCTCCCCGCCTCTCAGCGTCCTTCCAGGCAGAGCCAGATAGATGGTTTAATAACACAGGCTGCCCGGGTGACTTTGTGGCCCTGGAGCCAGCCCACGTTCCTGCTGTCCCCTGCTGTGGCTGCAGGGCCTGGCTCCAGCAGGATCCCTGCGTGGCAGGGCTCTGGAGCTCCGTGTCAGGGTGCTCGGGCCCAGATGGCAGCCACCCAGCAGCGCAGGCTCAGAGGCCCTGGCTGCGGCAGCTTCCGCCAGGTGGATGCAGCGTGCCGACCTCCCTGGCCCGCTCTTCTGTTCTCCCTGGAGATCGCAGAGGAGCTCCCTGTTCAGAGGGCTCCTGGGGGTGACACTCAGTCTGACCCCTGCCCCACGGGGTGGGGAGCCCGCTGGGGCCTCTTCTTTGCCAGGCCAGGAGCTGGGCCTGGAACTGTTCACATTCTAGCGGGGGACGCTGGATGTATCAGCAGAGGGACTGCTGTGCCTCTCCGTCCCTGGGCACATTCCACACTGCTTCACTGACGCCATCATCAGCCCCAGGCCGGAACACAGCTGCCGTCAGCGTCCCAGCGAGGCTTCCTGTGCAGAGCTCTCTGGGCCCCAGGGTGCTCACTCACCGGGTGCTTCCAGGCATTCCCCAGGGCGCGAGCTGTTGGCCTTGGTCCTCTCACACAGCCTGATTCCCAGCAGCCTTTGCTCTTGTCCACTTACAAGGCACTTTACACAGTCCTTCCTCCCCTACCGTGTATTTTTTTGTTTTGAGGCAAGTTTCACCATGTAGCCCAGGCAGGTCTTGAACTCGTGACGATCCTTCTGCCTCAGCCTCCTGAGCACTGGGACTGACTTATGGGCTATGAAGAGTCCGGCGGTGTCACGTCCTACTGACCCCTACCTCTATCTCTGCATGGCTGGATACAATGCATAGAACCTCTCCAAATCCCCAGAGAACCAGTCCCAAACTCTCCGGCTTCACAGCCAGCCGATGGCCCTTCCTCCCAGAATGCGCACCTGTGTTGTGTCCTCCTGTGTGCACGGGGCCCTGCGTGACGGAGAGGAGGCTGCAGACACGGCCGAGGGCGACCTCTGAGGAAGCTGTGCAGGGGTACAGCACGGGTCCTGCCTTGGTCAGCCACAGAGAGGACACAGCTGCCATGCTAGGAGGACACTCCCGCCATGCTGTGGAGGGACCATGTGACTCAGAGCTGAGGCCTCCTACCAGTGCCCTGCTGGACTTGTCACTTGTCACTGTGAGGATGGGCCACCCAGAAAGCAGCCTCACAGCCCCATCCGGCCCCAGGAGGGGGCGTCCTGGCTGCACTGCTCCATTTCAATCTGGTGGGGGGCTCCCCCGCCTCACCTCGACCCCAGGCACCGAAAGAGTTGGTGTGTTTTGTTTTTATGGCCTGTTTTTCAGACGATTTAAGCCACTGAGTTTTGAGGTAATCCGTTTGACAACAATAGATGAGTAATGTGATCAACACGCCGAAGAGGTTTCGGAGGACGAAGTAGGGCAGGACGTGTCACAGGCAGAAGGGGGCTGGGCTCGCCTTAAGCACTCCACAGCGAAGTAACGGGAACCCCTTTTAGAGGTGTGTGTTCCCTGAAATTCTTCACCCCTCTTCTGGCAGGCCGTCCCCTGCTCCCCCGGCCCTTCCCTGTCCCCTTCCCCCCAGCCCCTCTCCCCTGCCCTCAGTTCCAAGACCGCTCATCCTTCTTATCAAACCAGGAATTGTTCGTGCCCTTGACCCTGCCTGTGTCCCGGCTTCCTGTGACTGTCACGGTGCCCAGAAAAACAAAACATTCCCCCGGATCAGAGGGCCCCCTTACCTAGAAGCTGGTGCAGGCTCAGACGTCCTGTCCAGTTCTCTGGGGACATCTGAGCGTTTCCTCCCGGGCTCCTTTCCTCCTTCCAGGCCCCGGCCTCTCTGCTGGGTCCTCCGCTGTCATAACCCTCAGGGGCAGTGCCAAGACCCAGCAGAAAGTTTGATATTTTGGCCTGACTCCAGCGCAGGAATATGACCCTGGATGCACCCTGGGTGTGTGCGTTTCTCTAAAAGAATCACTTAACCTAATTTTCCTAGTCTCAACTCAAAAGGCCCAGTAGATCAAGTGGGAAAAAAAACTTCACCTCCGTACAAAGGGTATCCCAATGCATGAAGCATTCGACATTCCAGCGTTCCTCTTTCTGACCTTTCCGTTCTCTAAATCTAGAGAAGGAAAGCTCTCCTGGAAAATAAATGTCCCCTGACGATGTAGCTGGGGCATTGGGGTCACTTGTATGTGAGCCACATCTAGCACCTGGGTAATAAAGGGCACTTTGCTGGTGGGCTGTCAGGGCCATGTCCTGGGCACCACGGGTCCATTCCAGAGGGCACCAGGGGTCTGGTGTGAGGGCAGGGGACCGGGCAGTGAGCGATGCTCCATGTCCTCCGGCATTGGAATTTTTGGAATGGTTCTGTGCCTGCTGCCTTTCCTGTCCACGCATCACCACCTATGACTCCATGAAGCCAGCTACGGGCAGGGAGGTGACCCATGCCTATGCCACCAAGACTGCCCGGTGGGGAGGAGAAACTGGGGTGTGGGTGGGAGAGAGACAGATGCTCCTGCTATTTTGCTGGTTACTTATGGCAATGATGTGTGGAGGGTCCTGGCCAGCACCTGGCCCTGAGCAGCCCTGATGTGGCTGCTACTCGACAGAGGTGACCCAGTGAAGGATAAATTGGGAGGGGGACACGAGGGAGAATGAATAATAACACGATATGATGTGTACTGTCATTAGACTGCCACATGATCCAGGCCCAAAGGTGGAGGAAGTAATGTGGCCACCAGCTGGAACTGGCCAGCTGGGGGAGGTGCTGTCACAGGGGGGTGACCTCTGAGTAGCATTAGGGTTAGGGGAGCTGATTGTAGACTGACAGAGGAGGTGAGAGGAGAAAAGTCTCCCCAAGCTGAGGGGACAGCAGGATCAAAAGCACAGAGGTAGAGATCCTGGGTGAGCCGCAGGGTGTGCTGGGGACAGGGCAGGCACTGGGCGCTGCTGGGCATTGATCGTGCCTGACCTAAGAATTGCTAAAGGGTAAGACGGCCCTGACTGCAAAGAACCTGTCTTAGCTACTTTTCCCATTGCTGAGACAAAATACCCAACATGCAGGGTTAAAGTTATTTGGCTCACGGTTTGTAGAGGTTTCAGTTCATAGTTAGCTGCTTCCAAGGCAGGGTGGCCTGACAGAGGGGTATCACAGGGGAGAGACAGTTCATGGGAGACGGAACAGGCCACCACACTCATCCAGGCCACTCACCCTTAGGACGGGTAGCGATCAAACCCTAATACCAGCATCTCATCCTTGATCCCAGATCACACACCCGGGACCCAGTCACCTCCAGAAAGCCCCACCTGTGGCTGCAGGAGGATTCGTGGAAACATTTACATACAAGCCATCGTAACCAGCCTTAACCGGGCAAGGGAGGGAGCTTGGGTTTTGTTTTCTAGCAGAGAGGGCTTCCCATGTGTCTCTGAGGCATACATCACACGCTGTGCAAGACACATGCATCCGGGCAGCTGCTGCCAATCACATAAAGCTGGCACGAGAACCAGGCATCTCTGCACTTCTTCTTGGGCTCTGGGCATCACTAGGATTTGACCAGAGGAGCAAGGAGGGGTGGTTACAGGTGGACAAGTGCAGGATGGCGAGGCCTGCATAGGACCAAGGCTCTGGATGTGGGCACACTGCTGCTCACGCCCGTCTCAGCCCCTGCTCACGACCTCGTCCGAATGTCCCACGTTCCCGGACGTGTGCGCACATGCGCATGTGCGCATGCGTGTGCACACGCATATGTGCGCATGCGTGTGTATTATCCATTTGGTTTCTATGTCAGCAAGGAGGATCCTATATTTCTAGATTTCCACTGTCCCACGTGGTAGCCACAAACCACATATGGTTATTTAAATTTAAATCAATAAAAATAAAAATTAAAGGTTCCGTCCTGCAGTTGCAGTAACCACAAATTTAAACCACTCAACGGCCACATGGAGCTAGTGGCTACTGTTTTAGACAACGCAGATTATATTTGTGTATATATTTGTGTCCCACAGCAGAGAGTATCAGACCGCATGGGTCTACAGAAAGATCAATTGAGTACCCGGATGTTGTGAGCCACCGTGACACCCCGCGCAGGCCAGCTGCCCCCTTCTCACCTGCGCAGCCACTCAGCTGAGGACCTGAAACGTGCCAATTTGCCTCTGCCTGGCAAGGACAGCATTTACACAGGGAGAATCTCAAACCACCCTGAGCCTTAGCTTACCAGACTGGGGTTCCGAGGGAGAAGAGAGTTTCCATGTAGGGGTATCAGGGTTGCCCCTTTAGCTTCTTTCTACAAAGGGGGAAACTGAGGATCGGAGGGGGTTAGAACTTGCGCTCTGTAGGTAACTAGGAGAGTTACGTAGACGCAGCCACAGACCTTTTTTTCCTCCTTTGCTGCTCTGACTCCTGCCGTTCCTTGAGGCCTTTCTAGGTGGATGTCAGCCAGCGCCCTCCTCAGAAACGCCTGAGCCCAACAACCACCCCCAACCCTGCAGGTAGATTAGGAGCTCTCTGCAGTTGCGCGCCAGATCCGCCAGAGGGCACAGGGGCCACTGTGTCTTCGCCTGCAGAGGGCGGGGCTTTGGAGAGGGCCAGTTCGCCCAGACGCTGAGTGGGACCTTGTTTAGTGCCCAGCCTTAGGAGCGGATGCACAGTGCCTTCCACACCGCCCCTGCCCTTTAGGAAAGCTCGGGTTAGAGGGCAAAGACACTGTCATGGGTTGTTTGGGTCTGCAGCG